CAGATCTTTGTATTTTGTGATTTTCTCCAGTTCTTTCTCTTCTATCCTGCTGTCTTCAGGTATTGCAATGTCCACTAACCAGACTTTTTTGTCTTTCTTATCAACAACTGTTAAGTCTGGGATGTTATATGGCTGCTCTCCTGCTTAAAAACTGCATTCTTCATGCTGTTCCATTATTAGTGAGCAGGGATTGCCGATAGTTCTTTCTTCTACACTACTTAAATGTTATTTGTCCACTGAATGTTATTTCCCCAAAGATTACTAGTTCACCCTTCATTGCCATTTCTTATTGGCATGCTTTCATTGTGTTGTCCTTCAATAAAATCTGACACTCTTCTCTGAGGCCTATGTGTGTGGTTGCCATATTTAAGGTCTATATTTCCTCTGAAATATGAATATGTTAGAAAATTTCTTTAGTTAAAAGATGTTGCTTGCATAGTAGTCCCTAGTGAACTGTCCCTGCAAAAGAAATGTCCTTTCTCAAACTTTTTTATTTATCATTCTAAAAGAAAAAAAAATACATAATTCATAAAAAATACAATTCATCATGAAACAAAAACAAGCAAAAGACGAACAAGGAAGGGCTATGTGGTAAAAAAAGATACAGTTTCATTTTTTAATGTCTTTATGGTCAAAAGATCTCAAGTCTTACTTTAGAGATGACATTACTCATTTTTGGGTGGGCATCCCATCTGTGTCCCAAGAAGTCTTCCAAATTATGATGCCAAAACATGACAGCCAGATGGCTGAATTTCAGCTGCTTCTTTTTGTTTTTTGCTTATTCAAAACCAAACAAAAATTAAAATAAATTTCTGGCAATTTAGAGTTGCAAATGGGTCTGCTTTGCTTTCCAGAGGTTTTCCATTACCATTCTCATCCTCAAAACATTGCCTTCCCCACAAAAAACCCAAACAGGCCAAAAACATTATGACAACACGTGGCCATCTGCTCTCCTGAGACTTGGAATTGCTCATCCTACCTTCACAAACGTTGCCTGCTCTGCTCTGTATGAAGGACCCATCTAGCTGAAGGACTTTCTGTCCACACTGATTAAAGATATACAAAGGTATAGACCATAGAAAGAAGAAGTTGCCTTATTTTAAATTGTCGTTCTTGATGATGATGATAATGATGATAATTCAAGTTATATTCTGCCTTTCTACCCAAAACATAATCAAGGTGGCTTAACTTGCTTGCGATTGAACAAGCACCAGGATCATCTCTGGACAGAAGCTACATTACTTTGCTATTTAATCTGTATAATCTTTTCCTCCAGACCTGTGCATAGTGTTAGCATATGTAAATTTGAGCAAATTACGCCCTGTCATCTTTGTGATACCTTGGCTGTTCTTGTGCAAGTGGCTCTCTCATCTGTACGGTGGGAATCCCCATGGGCTTGAAAGCTCTGAGAGTGCATCAAGGAACATATGGCAATTTGGTCCTTCCCCTATTCTTGGTGCAAAGGGTGGGGAGGCAGAGACGTGTCATTCAGATTTATTTTCCAAAGTTTAAAATAAGCCATTCGAGCCATAGGCGTGCATAAATGATTCCTAAATAAGTAAGTCAATAGTTCATTGTATCTTATTGAACAACAAACAAATATTAAAACAGAAATTTCATATAATGCTGCTTGAATAAATAAGTAGTGTTTTCTGTTTTAATGTATGCCCATGATGATCTAATTGAAAAATTAACACTCCAGCTGCTTTTGAATATTGACAGTGGCGGTTCTGGAGTACAGTGTGCAGGTGGTGCTGCAGTTGCTATTCAGCTTGGCACGCTGTGCGCATGTGCTGAGTTCGCCCTGAAAAATGTGTTGCTGTGCCAAAATCTGCCTCCTGGTTTCATAACACTTCTTTGCCAGTGAAAGAGGTTTCTGTTTTTCTACTTCATTCTCAGAGCGGTTCCAACTTGCTTTCCCATTTCTTTGATAATCCTTCTGAGCTTATTTACTATTTCCGTGTGATCGTTTTTGTCTGATACATCTCCTTCACACTTAATTTTTCAGCTTCCTGGGCTACTTATGATTCCTGATTTCAGAAAGCCCATGAGCGGATTTCCCACATCGCAAAATACAGAAAGCCTGGAGGGAAGGAATCTCGGATTTCTGTAATCCTAGAGAAATTATTCTACCATAACAGATCGAAAATCCATGGCCTTCTCATAAGTAAGATAGAAGAATCTCACATCCACTCATAAGAATTTCAATGCATGCTATGTTCTATTTTGAAAAGGAAAAATCCAAAGGAATTTGCTTTTTTTTCCCCTCCGACTGAATGAAAAGGAAGAAGAAAATTGAAGAAGAAATTTTTCACGGAACAGTTCATTAAGGACTAGCCATTACTTCATATTTCACTTTACAGAGAGTTCTAAGAGTTTTTTCCTTCTACTACATTTGGTGTGTGGTTAATATTTAACAAAAAAGTAGCAGAAAAAGGCAGACATGAAGACGTGAAGTCACTGACTGGTGTTAGTTACGTCTTAACTCTTCTGTTTCGGGATTTTTTTCTTCCCAATTCCCTTCTTTCTTTTAAGAAAGCATTCCAAAAATCATGCTTATTAACTGTTCAATGATTGGCTACCATTATTAGGATCTCTAATGGGAAAACTTTAATAATAAATTATAAAATAATTATATTTATTTTCCTTCTATCTTTTTTATCTGCTGCTTGAAGCGCCATCTGTTGGTGAAAAAGCAGGATGGTGAAAAAGCTGTGCCTATCCCCGGGGCCCCAAAAATGGGAAGGATCCCACTGCCTGGTTAGAGCACAGCTTTGTCATCTTTTTCAGGCTGCTATGGGTTTTATCCTTTTGTTTCTATTTTGATTGTTTTGAATATTGTAAGCTGCCCAGAGTCATGTGTGTGAGATGGGTGGCCATATAAATCCACTAAATAAATAAACTCTCACAAAGAACAGAACAAGCAGTTGTTTAAAAAGGAGACGTGTCCTACTTACAACAATATCCCTAAAAAGGAAGAATACAATGGAACAAATTATTATACAGACAAATGTATAATGAGAAATTTTTTGAGAAATTATGCTCAAAAAGTGCAGGGCCGGGGCAAGAACTAGATTAAGTGAATCAGTAATTACAAATTAAAATTAATTTCCTATAAAATAATGGATTACACAATGAATATATACGTGCAAGTATTCACTCCCTCTTTCCTCCAGGAGATCCACAAAAGAAGGAAGTAACAGGTTGCAGTTAGGTAGGAAGGAAGAGGGAGGGAGGGAGGGAGGGAGGAAGGAAGGAAGGAAGGAAGGAAGGAAGGAAGGAAGGAAGGAAGGAAGGAAGGAAGGTGGCAGAATAAAACTGGGTAGAGAGAAGAGTACATTGGATAGGAAAGGAAGGAGAAGCCTTAGGTATTAGAAGAAGGGTTAAATTCACTAGGCAAACAGCACTGATGATGTTATCTAGTCAGGTAATGAAAGGTCTGCGAGCAAACAAGCAAGCTCAGAGAGCACCAAGGATAAACAGCCATTTCTAAGCAGCAGCTAATCTTCAAAGGCACCCAGACTTTGCATAGGGATGTCTAAAGCTATTTGCATCTCATGTTAATTCCTTCTTCTGTTCGTATCAGCAAATGTTAGAGATCCCTCTTCTTTGTTCTATTGAACAAATAACAGTAGAATGTTATTCACAGTATTTCTTTGTGAGAGAAGGCCCTGCAATACCTTTCTAAATCTTTCTTTCTGATGAAAACAAGGCAAATCCAAATTCTACAGATTCTTAAAATTATGCCTGTGGGGATATGATAGATAGATAGATTCTAAGCCACATAGCTGTGAGCAGTAATGGTGGAACTTTGTTTATTTATTTATTTGAAGCATTTCTATGCTGTTTCTCTTGATAGACAATCCATCTTTTGATAATGAAAAGAAAAAAATAATTCCTAGACTCAACAGTACAAAAACAGAATAAAAGCAACCCATCAAAACTGTAATATTAAAGTTAGTGGCTGGTGAAGGCCAACATAAAAAGTTGGGTTTCCCATAGATGCTTAAACCATGTCAGTATTGGAGTGTAATATATTGCAGAGGGAAGTCTTTCCAGACTACAGTTATGATCTTCAAGAAGACAATATGTGTATCACTTCCAACTGGTAATTTGCAAAGAAAACATATCCCTCTTGAAGACTGGCTATGCATCAGAAGCTAATGTCACTGGAGGCCTTCCAATTAATTTGATGCTTGAATATGACTCAGTAGCAGACTGGTGGGCAATGGAGACATTTTAGTTAGGGTACAACATTGGTGAAGTAAAATATTAGTGCTGCATTCTGCACTAAATGTAGTTTCTGGACTAAATATGAACAGCAGTGCCAGCAGTACATAATATAAGGATCCAGTCTTGAATCACTCTGGCCAAGCTTGTCCAGAAATAATTATATTGACATATCAGCCTAAATTGATTATAGATGCTTTTAGCCAGAGATTTTATTTGAGCTTCCAGCAACCATAGTGAGTTTAAGAGCAGCCCCAAACTGAGAACATTTTGGGTTTTTTGGGGGGAAAAGGCTTCAATTCCATCCAAATTTTGACTGGGAATTCTGAGTGTGTTAAGCCAACATGTCCAGAGGTTGAAGTGACAGGTTGAAGTGATTGTGCCACATGTTCAGCAAAATATGCATTTTTTCCCCTCAGACACATGCAATCTAGCAGACAGTAGGCATTGTCTTGGTGTAATATTTTGTCTCACTATAACCAATCTCATAATTTGCTCATTCCCATGGTATTCTTTTGTAGTGGAGTGGAAGAACATTTACTCCTATAGTTTACACAGAGAAGACCCAAGTTTAAGATCCCATCCAATCCAGAAGCTTATTTGGTAATTTTAAGCCAGCTACTTCAGACACATTAGCAAAGATTCAGCTCTCCGGAAAAGGCTGTAATGCTGGGAAAAGTGGAAGGAAAGAGAAGAGAATGACCAGCAGCAAGGTGGATGGACTCAGTTACAGTGGCAATGAATGCCCCATTGGGAGACTTGAAAGAACAGGTTAAGGCTAGTTTGTCATGAAAAATATCTATGTGGTCGCTGGGAGTTGAAAATGACTTGATGGCACATAATCAATCAATCAATCAATCAATCAATCAATCACTACCTCTCAGCCTAATTTATCTCACAGATCTAAGATAATTTTTTTTAAATGCATTTTTCTTTGAGATAAAAAGGAGAGGCTATTTATTTTATTTTTCAAAATTGGCAAGTCATACTTCAGTTGTATGCGTGGAAATGCAGGTAATGTTGTTCTCTTTAGGACCCACTTTACATGTGATGACTAAACTTTCATACATAGTCGAAGTGTTTAGCGCCTTACAGTTCTAACTGTGTTATTACCGGTTCATGATAAATAGTATCATCACAGTATTAGCATAAGCTATCCATTCATCATCTGTTCACTCCATAATACCTGAATGGAAGCAAAGCTGCTACCAGAGCTATCTATTTGCAGAAGGCAATAAAAAATCTTCATTGTATTTTATAAGAGGAAGCTGATCTTTGAGAAAGGAAAATGTGTCATATTTCTACCTCTTCTGTAAGGAAATACCCCATTTATCCTGTTAAAAAGATAATGAATTTGATTCCGTAGCTGTTGTAATGAGGTGTATCTCAAGAGTGGACACTTTTCTTTATAGTCTGGCCCTTCCCAGGCCGCACTGAATGTCTGCCAAAGAAGCAGAGGTACAAACATTGTTGGTTTCTCCCTGCTGTAAAAGTCCTGCATGGATCCTTTCGCAGTAAATAATTATTGTCCTAGCTCCAATCTTTCCTTTTGGTGGAAGGTTGTAGAGATAGTGATGGAGTGACAACTGCAAAGAGCAATGGAAGTAACAGATAATCGGGATCCACGGCAGTAGGTTTTCAGACTTGTATGAGACCAAAAGTGCATGAGTGTAGAGGGCAGAAGAAATGGATTGAGGGACAGAGGAAGAGCCACTACCAAGACAATGGTCAGATAAAAGGTGCTTGAGTCCAGGACAAGAATGTAACATGAGTAAACCACTCAGACAAGCCCCTCCCTAGCTCACACAAAGATAAAGGGGTGGGGGAGGCACATTCAGACTTGCAAGACTGATGTCAACCCTTCATGGTAGATCAGACTAGGAAACCAATGCCATGTAGCCATGTACTACTTGAAAACCATGGGCAGCTCCAGCTGCTGCACCAGTTGCAGAATTAACTAGAATGGAAAGTTGAAAAAGCTCACTCATGCCCACAACATCTCATGACTGCATTATTGTAATTTGCTTTACATAGACTTGCCCTCGTAAACCATAGCTAGCCCAATTCAAGATTCTGGTTGTTTGCCCTAAAGACTTGTATGGCTCAGGGCCTAGATAGGAAGATCATCTTTCACAGCCTGCTAGGCCAATTCAACTGAACAGAGATTGCTTGAGGAACATCTCCACCTATCATGTACTGTAGAAGCAACAGGAGGAGTTAGAGAAGAAGGCAATATCTGTGGGAATTCCCTGCCTTTGGAACAGCTTCACTCCCTAAGCAAGACACTCTCATGGCCTCCCAAAGACTTGTAAAGACCTGGCTGTTTGGAAGGAGCCTGTTATGTAGTTGGTGACAATTTTCAATAGATATTGTTAATGTCATGTTAATGTTTATTAATTACAATGTTTATTTATTTTTTATTTATACTGCAGTTTCAGACAGTTTTAAACAGCTCAACATGGATATCTAAACAAGGCTGAGAGGAAAAAAAGAAAGTTTTAGCAAGAGTCTAGCCATTAACTGGTCTTTTCAGTGGCAACTCTCCAATTGTGGAATTTCCTTTCAAGAGAACCTTTATTGTTGATGTCATTACACCAGAAAAAGCACAAGTTACTCTCTTAGATGTTTTACCATCTAAGAGATGCATGTTACTGGATGTCTCCATGTTTGTTTTGTCTTAGAAATCATCTCTCTGGAATTTTAAAAGCTTTATAAATGCATTGTTTGTGAGATTCTTACTTTTTAATTTGTTGTAACTGTGTTTCTGACAATATTCAGTTTTTAATTGTATGTACCATAAACACAATTAACATACTACATTTGATAAGACTGGAACAATTGTGTGTCCTCTATTTTTCTGCTCTTTTCAAACCCCATCTTCACAGAGATTTAAATTTCCAGAACAAAACAGCTGGAAATAAATATTTCCTATGTATGGTGACCCCCCACCATTCCAACTTGCCTCAGAACAAGACAAAATCTAAGCGAGTCAGTGCATGCCTTTTATTTAATATGATGGACAATTTGACTCTGAGAAGAGCATTATTAAATTATAACTTTTGAAAATTTCCACATCCATTTTCATCTTCAAGTATTTAGAAATGTGAAGATACGATCCGCTGAAAGGTTCTTCTGCACAAGTTTTCTTCAAATGAAAAACAGTGGTGTTGAATAGGTTCAGATTTGCAAACTTCTCATTTATTTCAATTGAGTTTATCTGTAGTTTAAACTGTAGTTTAAAATGTAGTCACTAGATGGTGAAAAACTCTATTCCATTTAAAATGGCATTATTAATTGTTAACACAAGAGCCATGGTGTTCTGAAATAGGCAATTCACCATCCAGGAGTTCCAGGTAATTCCCAGATTTT